ATGGAATCAGACGAAGAGGAACTTATTCCGGAAACCCCAGACCAGGATGGTGTGATGGAGGGTGTGCTGCCCACTGCAGTGGAAGAACGTAATGGTTTGAGCACTATGGAACTTCAACAAGAGGACAATGGTAGACTGAAGAGTAAAGGAAAAGAGATAGTGGTCAGGGAAACTCGAAGAAAGAGGAATCAAAGCACCCCATTCTTACCCTCAGATACTCTAAGGATGGAGGCACCTCCCAAACAGAATCTCCGGAGTTATTCCAAAGGAAAGGAAGATCATCAAACTCCAGCATCGAAGAAGTCGAAAAGGTACGAACCGTACACTTCTAAAGGGGGCAAATTCCACAATGTAGATGCTACACAGCTTCATGAGATCCATATTTCAATTGAGGATGGCTCAAAGGAGTGGGGCTGCGGTGGCTAGCCCTAATAAGCCACCGGGGATATATGAAGATTATGAGCTGGAATTGTCGTGTCCGGGTTCTACCACGACATTCCAAAGACTTGAGAGCCTTAGTGGCTCCAGAAAGACCCAACGTAATATTCTTAATGGAGACAAAAAATAACAGAGCACGAGTGGAGGGAGTTAGAAATCGACTCAAGTTTCAGAATTCTATGATAGTAGACCCAAGAGGTTTGGCTGGAGGTTTAGCAGCTATATGGGATGAGGAGGTGACGATGGAGGAGGTGGACAACACGGACAATCTTGTAGATTTAATATGCAGGATCTTAGTAGTGGAAAGAGGATGCGTGTATCTTTTATCTATGCACCAACTAACTTTCAGGACAGGCTCCTCCTATGGCGAAAGCTGAGATATATTCACCATGGCAACAGACTCCCTTGGATATGCATGGGCGACTTTAATGAGATACGGTATCAGTGGGAGAAGGTAGGGAAAAGAGAGGATGATTATTATAGATTGGTGGCTTTCCGGGATATGTTAAATGATTGCGAACTCATGGATGTAGAGAGTAAAGGGTGCGCTTATACGTGGGCAAATAACAGAGAAGGTGAGGAATTGGTAAGGAAAAGACTAGATAGGGTCGTATGTAACATGGAATGGAGGGTATTATTCCATGAGGCAGAAGCTTATGCTCTACCGGCCATTGGCTCCGACCATAGCCCAATCTTACTATCCCTAGCCCCACCTAAGGAAAAGAGGAAAAAGGATTTCTGGTTTGAGGCTTATTGGCTAGACGAACCAGAATGTAAAGATATTGTGGAGGAGGCATGGCATGACCAGGCAAACGATAATGCAGATTTTGTGAGTAAGTCCAGAAAAGTGGTTGAAGCCTTGACTAGGCGGAGTAGGAGGAGATTCTCCAATGCACATAAACAAATACAATGCTTGATGGGGAGATTAACGAACCTGACAAATAGCACGGATGGAGGAAGGGGAAAAGTGGCCATTCAACGAATCAATGAGCAAATTGAGAGACTATGGAGACAGGAAGAGATGTATTGGAGTATGAGGTCCTGCATTAGCTGGTTAAAGTGGGGAGATAGAAACACCCAATACTTCCACACCACCACAATTCAAAGAAGACAAAGAAACAGAATCTCTATGCTGAAGGTGGGGGAGAACAGATGGAGCCGGGATCCTTCAGAGCTCAAGTCATATATCCAATCATTTTATCAGGCCTTATATGAGTCAACAGGACACAGAAATTTCCAACTAGTAATTGATCAATGCCCATACACTCCAAAAGAGGGGATGAACGAGGCCTTAATGAGGAAAGTGTCGATTAAAGAGGTGAAAAAAGCTGTGTTCCAAATGGGTGCCACCAAGGCCCCCGGACCGGATGGATTGAATGGCCAATTCTATCAGCATAACTGGGAGAGTATACAGCATGATGTCTACTGTTTGGTGGATAATTTCTTCACCTCAGGTGTGCTCGACCCCACCCTAAATCAGACTTCTATAACCCTTATTCCTAAGGTGGCGAACCCTGAGTGCATTACTCAATATCGGCCAATTAGCTTATGTAATTTCAGTTACAAAATCATTTCTAAAGTCATGGCCAACCGTCTAAAACCTTGGCTTTCTGAACTTATTTCCACTGAACAAAGTGCATTCGTGAGTGGAAGGCAAATTCAAGACAACATATTAGTAGTTCAGGAAGTAATCCACCAGTTGCGTACAAGGAAAAGGGAAAGAAAGTTCCAAGCAATACTCAAGCTGGACATGCAGAAAGCTTATGATAGAGTTGAGTGGGATTTCCTGTGTGCAAGTATGCTGAAAATGGGCTTCAGTAACAGATGGGTTCAGTTAATCAGGGAATGCATATCTACGGTCTCCTTTAGCGTCCGAGTTAATGGGGAATCCCTACAGGACTTCCAGCTGTCCCGAGGCATAAGGCAAGGGGATCCTCTATCGCCGTACTTGTTTATTATCCTGGCCAATGCCTTATCATCTCTAATGAACAAAGCAATTGAGGAGGGCAGCATCAGAGGTATAAAGCTGAATAGGTGGTGTCCAACATTATCACATCTATTATTTGCGGACGACGCAACTTTTTTCTTGAATGGAACAGTCCACGAATGTCAGAACTTGGCAAGTATTTTGAACCAATATTGCTATTCTTCGGGCCAGGCTATCAATTTAAACAAGTCAGGCATCTTCTTTAGCAATGGATGCCCTGAGTTACTGAAGAGGAATATGGCGGAGCAACTACGAGTTCCTATTATTGACAAAACCGGTAAGTATTTAGGCATTCCATCAGATTGGGGGCAGTCAAAGAAACAAATGTTTGCCTGGATATTAGCAAGGGTCAATATGAAGCTAGAGGGGTGGAAGGAAAAGCTGATGACCAAAGCAGGGAAGGAGATCCTAATTAAAACTGTCATTCAAGCTTTGCCACAGTACGCAATGTCCATTTTTAAGATTCCTATCTCGATTTGTCGAGCGATTGAGCAAAAGATTTCTTCCTTCTGGTGGAAGCAAAGAGCAGACAAAGCAGGTATCCCTTGGAGAAAATGGGAACTTCTGAAAATCAGGAAAGACGCGGGTGGCTTAGGCTTTAAGGACCTAACTGCTTTTAATAAGGCAATGCTAGGAAAATAGGCCTGGCGACTAATACAAGCACCGAATGCCCTTTGGAGTCAGGTAATGAAGGGGGTCTATTTTTCCTGTGGTGAGTTTTGGCAAGCAAACAAAGGCCATCGCCCATCCTGGGGGTGGCAGAGTCTCTTAATGGGCAGAGATGTGATTGAAGCAGATGCGAGATGGAAAGTAGGTGACGGCAAAAAGATAAAAATTAAAGAGAACAGGTGGCTCCCTTATGGCAAAATTATTGGCCCCTTGAACCAGGAGGTACCGAAATTCGTAGCAGAACTGATTAATCAGGAGACTCATGAATGGAAATCACATTTGATTAAGGAAATTTACGAGGAAGAGACGGCGCAAGAAATACTGACAATCCTACTAAGCACAAACCCTTCGGAGGATACTTTGGTGTGGACAAGGAACACAAAAGGAGTCTACTCGGTTAAAAGTGGCTACAATAGGTTATGCTCCCAAATTTCGCAACAACGAGATGAATCAAGCATCATCATCATATCACCTCCCGGAACTTATGGACTAAAATATGGCAAATCCCGATCTACCCCAAGGTTCGTCATTTCTTATGGAGCATATGCACAAATGCTCTACCGACAAAAGAAAATCAGATAGAAGAAAGATGGCACCCGATCCCTTCGCCCGATCTCGCCGAGCCCCGGAGACCCCGAACACCTCGCTCCTCCTTTGCGATCGGACAAGAAACGTTTGGTTAGACTCTCGGTTACATCTAGACACCTCAGTCACCAAAATCTCCAGAATGGACAAGTGGCTTGCGGATTACTTGTCGAAAGATCCTCCCTCGTCGTGTGACACCCTCTCCTCCTCGGAAGACCTTCCCTTGTCGGTGACATTGGCCGGCATAACCTAGTTGATCTGGAAGGCACGAAACACCTCGGTATTCCAGCAGCGCAAACCGAACCCATGGAACATAGTGGAAGAAGCAATCAGTGACTATAAAGTGTTTGAGAGGTGGAACACAAACAAAAAGGTAGGAACACAACAGTGAAAACCTTAGTAGATCGTTGGTCTCCGCCCGGCGGGGAACCTCAAGCCGAACGTCGATGCGGCTTGGTGCAAATAAACACGAGAGGCGGCGGGCCGCGGAGTCCTCCTGAACCAAGATGGACTCCCTAATTTCCGGGTTCGCGAGGGATTTTAGAGCTCCATCAGCTAGCGTGGCGGAAACCCTTGCTCTACGCGACAGACTCTCCTTTCTGTTGAAGCTTCGAAGTCAAAGGGATAAGGAAACTAATCTGCACAGTGACTTCTCTGATCTGCGCGTGGAAGTGGTGTCTGACAGCCAAGCGTGCGTGAGGTGGATCTTGGGCCAAGAAGAGAGCCCGTGGACCGTGACTTCAGTGGTTGAAGACTGCCGAAAATTGATGGGCCAACTAAAAGAGGTATTTGTAGCCCATTGTTCCAGAAACTCCAACCAGGCCGCGGATTGGGTGGCGAAGGCCCAACGCACTCATTCCTTAACTCCAAATTGGTTTTCTAAACCTCCCCGTACTCTTTGGTCTCTATTATGTTATGATTGTGGAAACTCATGTGAGTCCATTTCTAGTGTCTAATGAAAAGTTAAGCGTATTATCGTCCAAAAAAAATGCCTACTGGGACGTCACAATTCCATGACCAAAAAAGGATGTTCACGCGCTCGAGGGTTCGGGGCATGACAACCAAAGCTTGGCCATGGACAAGTGGGGGAGAGAAAGTGAGTGAGGGACAAAGTCGACAAACAAGTGCCAGTTCAATATCTGCCCGAGCAAATAGCATGTTAATCTGATATGAAAACAAAATCAAGAATGGATCATAATGTGTACAATCAGAGCACAGCCTGAGAGATCGATGCTCTATTCGCTAAATGCCCACAAGTTATGATGAAATAGTAGATTTTATTGCCAGGTGCTTGGTCTGACATGAATGTGTCGACTTCTTAGATGAACATAAGAATATTTACACCAAAGCAATGGCTAAGAAAGCAATATCAGCAACTGACGGGCCATGCATCTTTCTCCTTCTTCTTCGGCTAGTGCCATTGCCATTATAGTAGTGGACACCATTGGAGCGTGCACCCTTGCGCCTCGTGTTTAGCTCATTAAAGCCCCATATCTGGATCGTATGGTTTTCACTGGCTGACGCTAACATGTGGTGGTTTGCTGGGTTCTAGCTCACGCAATTCACAGCTCCCGAGTGACCCGACAATGGCCCGATCAGCTTCCTTTAGCCTTTGTTTTCTGCCAGTTTTGTTTCTCACCATCTATTGCAATTTCACCTATCAAAACAAGAAACCAACCAAAGAACCGAACCAACAACAGAATGAAAATCCCTAGCTACAAATCACCGAAACTCATGAACCAAATCAATTGACCAGGGCCCACATGCAGGAAGAACCAAAAGGGGTCAGACCCGACGGCTGCGGCGATTTCTCCGCCTCGCACGCATCCACAGCCTTCTCCGCACCCGAGCCCCGCCGATCAGAGGATCTGAGCCCGAAATCTCGAGATTCCGACCCGGATTTTGCCCCCACATCAGCTTTCTCGGGCAAATTACCCTCCGCAACCTGCGCAAAACAGGGAAAACCCCAAATCAGCCCCACAAATCCAAAAGGAAACCCATGAATCTGGGGTCCCGAGGAGACCCCGAGGCCGGGTCAAATCGACGAAATTCCAAAGGTCCCCAGCCTCAAGAAAGCGCCAATTCGAGCGAAAAAGCACCGACCTTGGAGCACTTGCTCCAGGAAGAGGACGAGTTTTGGGGCGAGGAGAGAGGCCACTTGTTGGCGGAGGCGCTGCGCCTGGTATCGACCATGGTGTTCGAGGGTTCCTTGGGGTCGCGTCTTGGAGCTCTTGGGTTCTCTCTCTTCGTCAGCTCTCTCTCGATTGCCATGAGAACTTGAATGAGAGAGAAAGAAAGAGCGAAAGAGAACGAAGGAGAAAGAGAGAGCGACAGAAAACGACGGTGAAAGAGAGAGAGTGGCGTCGTTTCATAATTAATGCCACCTCATTATCCGCATGGACTTTCCTTTTCTAATGAAAAATCCACCTAAATTTAACATTTAATAAAAAAAGTCACATTTTGGCCGGAAAATCTCGCCGTTGGTACTTAAATGATCGATTTTTCTCCGATTTGGCACTTAAGTGATTTGGCGATAACTTTTGACACTAAAGTGAGCGCCGTACACAACTTTTGACACTTCTAGTATTTTTCTCCGCTTTAATCTGAATCTACTCGTGTATTGATTACTAGAGACCAATGCCTATTAGAAAATTGATGTCGTATTCCGACATGCGGCGTCAACAAATTTGGTTGAGTGGTCATCAGGAAAGACTTCATTGCATTCGATACAAAACATTTGTGACTTAATCGCACTTTTTTTTAAAATTTAGAACTTAATTGTACATTAAGCAAAATTTTTAAGATCTTTCTATGCGAGTTCTCACAAAAAAAGAAAAGGAAAAGAACGGATCAACATGTTCATTCGTTTGGATGAGAAGAGAGTTGAAGGTAAAAGAAAGGAAATGGGATGCTTAGTTAAGTAATGGAAAAATGAGGGGGTGTGATCTAGGCAGTCATGCTAAGGTGGCAAATGGTGAGAAAATCATGTCCTATTTATCCATCACCCCCCCCTTCCTTTTGCAGAATTGCGATTTTAATTATTAGTAAGTGCGAAAGAGAGGAATTAGAAATAGAATCCCTTTCCTCAATAGAAACATTCTTCATCTCAACCTTTGACTGTGTCTCAGTAACTTCGGGATCTTCGTATTACTTGCAGCATCTGCCCTTCCCTTTTATCAGTGACTAGACAAGTTAAAATGATGAAAAGTTTAGAACTTCCGGTGCTTCAGGTGCCGGACAATTTGCGAAGCAGAGGCAAGTCAAAAAAAAAATTAATGGATGAGAATGACATTAACTGGATCATACTAAATTTATGTGCATTTGTTTATGATGATAACTTTTGTATAATTGTGTTGAGATCACCCTCCAACTCCATATTACATGAGCATTCGAACAGTGTGGCATAGCTTAGTTTTGGTGTACTTAGCGTACCATTCGAAAAGATCTTCATTTGCGGGTGCTGATTAGTGGTGTCAAAATGGGTCTTAAACCCATATATGACCCATTTAAAAATAAATGGGTCATATATGGGTCACTTAATTTAAAAAGTCAACCTTAAATGGGTTTTAAATTTTAAAGTTTAAAGATAAATGGGTCTAAATGGGTTGAGTTTGGAACCCATATCCAACCCACCTACTAGACCTATCCACACACTCTCTTCCTCTTTATAAAGATGTTTAAAAAAAATCGAAATTTAATTATTTTTATTTTTTCTCTTTTTCTTTTATTTTTTATTTTTTATTTTCTCTTCTTTCTTTTTCTTTTTTTTTATTCCGGCCGGTGGTCAGCCACGGCGACCGGCCACCGGGGCGGGACGACCTCGCCGGAGGCCGGCGAAGCTTGAGCTCGCCGGCCTCCGGCGAGGCTCGAGCCTCGCCGATCTGGCGAGCCTCGAGCTCGCCCGATTCCGGCGACCTTGAGGCTCGCCCGATCCCGGCGAGGCTCCAGCCCTCGCGCCGACCTGTGGCGAGGCTCCAGCCTCGCCGATCTGGCGAGACTCGATCTCGCCCGAGGCCGGGCGAGGTAGAGCTCGCCCGAGGCCGGCGAGCTCGAGTCTCGCCAGATCGGCGAGGCTGGAGCCTCGCCTGAGGCCGGCGAGGCCTCGGCCTCGCCAGATCGGCGAGAACGAGCTTCGCCGGCCTCCGACGAGCTCGTCCTCGCCAGATCGGCGAGAACGAGCTTCGCCGGCCTCCGGCGAGCTCGTCCTCACCTGTGGTCGGTCGCCGGCCACGGCAACCGGCGATCGGCCAAAAATAAAGGAAAATTAAAAAAATTAAAAAAATTAAAAATTCGATTTAAAAAATAAAAAAAATATTAATTTTTTTTTATTTTCTTGGATAATGACTTTATGAAAAATATTTTCTAGAAATGTTGCATTTTTCGTAAAACAAACAGAACCTCAATTTTTAAAAAAATTATAAAATTTTTCACTAGCTTTGTATTGCATAAAATGTTTTAGCAGTATAATTTAAAAAAAAATCATAAGAAACAAATATTCCTAGATTAGGTTAAATATAAAAGTGTTTTAGCAATATGGGTCGGGTATGGGTTGGGTATGGGTCGGGTCGAGATATTTACACTATGAATAAAAGGGTCATAAACGGGTTAATGGGTCAATTTGGGTCGGACCATTTATGACCCGATCCAAACCCGACCCGACCCACCCGTTTAACAGGTCTAGTGCTGATACATGATTTTTAGTCCATTTTTTAAAATTTTCTAAACAAAATCACAAAATTAGGATTAGGAACCTTGGCCAAGCTTAGGAACCTATTTCTAAACCAAAAATAATTTTTTATAATTTTTCTGAATTGTTCCTTAATTTCTTTAAGCCAAAATAAGATAAAAAACCAAGAAAAATAACAAATGGAATCCACAAATTCCATAAAAATAGCAATTAGTCTTATTTTAAATCCAATTTCATCAATACAGCATCAATTTTAGAAAATTTCAATTGGAAATGTGTTTTTCCCAAAATCGGGTAAAATCAAGCCCAAATTAAACCAAAAATTCAATTGAGTCATTTCTAGTCATTTCTAGGCCATAGTGTCTTCACAAAAAATGATTCTGGGACCTTGAATTGCATAATGGTCAGTCCAATTGCATAATTTATCGAAGGAATTAAAAAGCCCCAAAAAAATCAATTAAAAATTAGGGATTTTAAGCCCAAATTAGGGATCTTGATCAATTTGAAATTGTCGAGCCAAAAGACCATCATTTCTAAGGTTAATCAGTCATGGGCAATCCAATTTTGGCATCAATTTTGCCTAATTAGGTCATCTAGATACAGAATTGAACAAAAATCCTAGTCATCCAAATTCGAAATTTGGGAATTTTGGGTTTAATTGTGATGAAAATTAGGACAAATTTCATATTTGGATGAAAAATGTGTTGAGGAATCCAATTTTTGGGTTAAAAATTGAAAAATAAGGTTAAAATCGGGTTGAATTTGTGAATTTAGATCAACCCGGATCTGCCGAGTCGGTCGGATTAACCCGACTCGACTCAGGTCAGTCTCCTTCTTTACCCAACTCGCCTAGAACATATGAGAAACATAAAAAAATATCTCCGGCCCACCTCTTCACCGCCTTACCGGGGCCAAATAAGCACGTGAAAATCAAGTTTACCAGCTGGCATCGGAGATTCGTTATAACCGATTTGGAGGTTGGCGATAATCGTAACGTCCTTACCTCGGGGTTATTAGTGCAACGTCTCGTTCATTTTTATCTTTGACTAAGCACAAGCGGAAGTAATTAATTCGAGACAATCACAATCAGAACAAACAACGGGGTTGTGACAAACATCATGAGCAAACCTTATATAAATATATAACATCTTATTATTAAACACATGCGGGAACGGCCCGTACAAATCATATCACAAGTGAAGGCTGAGGTTAATCCTAGCTCCTCTACGTCATCCTCCGTATTACGGATCTGAAAAGAGGAAAAACAACGGGGAGTGAGTCAGGGAGACTCAATTAGTAAATTCACTAATACTCGTGCAGGATGATGCTTCGCCGTCGTACTAACGTATACAAATAGTTTCCCCACCTTATGTCGATGGCAAATCAATAGCAAAGGCTTTGTCCTTGCCCATGCTATATTTACATGGAAACTCACCTTTATCCGATCACATAAATGCGGCTTATCAATAAATATACATACCGGCACACATATAAAATTCATTTATCATCATCCTGGCTCAACCAGGGCATCCAGCTTCATGCTAGGCATTCTGGCTCAACCAGGGCATCCCGGCTCAACCGAGGCATCCCGGGGCTAGCTCACCCGAGGCATCCGGGCTCAACCAAGGCATCCTAGCTCAACTAGGGCATCCCACGATCGGTCGATTAATCCAGAGGTGCTCCAGCGAAGCTGAGACCACCAGCTTGGAGTCCAAGTATTGAGGAAGAACTCCACGATCGCCAGTTGCTTCAGAAACTCTAATTGATCCTTCATTGAAGTTGGTAAAGTTCAGTCATGATCATAGTTTTACAAAATTCCAGATTTTGTGTTTGAGCTTTACCGTGCTTGATTGTGTAATTTTTTTATGATTTTGAGTTTCTTAATGCTCAAAACTTGATTATGATCACAATATTGGTTGTTTGTTGCATTTTGGGCCATTAAATCTGCATAAACCAAGTTGGTTGTCCCTTAGATCACCTCGCCGAAGCAGCCCTTACCTCACCGGAGCATCCCTGACGGTCAACCACCGTCTCAAGTTAGTTTTCCTTGCATTCATATTGTTCTATTATTGATTCAATCGCTAGAAAACTGTTAGGGCAAATTGTTTGATTGTCTAGAAGGTAGGAAAGTTAGTATTGACCAGTTTTAGGTTAGGACTTTTGGATCAATTTTCACCGACCAGCAGTGATTCGGTGTTGAGCCAACTATGATGGATAACTAGAGGATGATGAACACTCAATGCAGAACCTAAAAATCATGAATAAAAGTTGTCGGAAGCTCACCAGAATCCGGTCTGAAGTGACGGCTTCGAGAATGTTGAACAAAAGATTATGCACACTATGTGCTCGGCGAAATGCCGAAGTGAGAAACACCAGAAACGGCACCATTTCGATGCCGTGCCCGCTGGAGTGCCAGCCGGTCCGACTTGGCCAGACCGATCTGAACTGGTTCGGCCCAGTTCGCTTTCTTGGCGGGAAAATTTTTAAAAAAATAAAAAATATAAAAATCAATTAAAAAAAGGTAGAAAAATTTGAAAAAAAATCGAAAATCAAATAAAAAATTTCAGAAAATTCAAAATTAAGAAAATTAAGAAAATTCAAAATTTTTTGAAAATTTCATAAAAATCTAAAAAA